AGTTTATTACTCACCAGTCTAAGATCACTTGCACTCCCCCAGAATCTTTGGTGTGGCCCTCTTGAGAACCTTCAGAAGTTGCCATCCAATTGGATTTTTAATGAGACTTTAATGTGAGAAAGTGGTCTAGCTAAAGAGTGGTACCCAACTGATTTTCCGATCTTAGAAAACTAAGCATAGTCAGAGAAGCAGGAGAACCCAGGTTCTAAGTTAGGAAGAAGGCAATCTCAAATCCAAGAAAACGATGAATGTGTCCATGAAATCACCAGGAGCCAAACTTGATTTGAGGGAGATATTATTCATAATAGAAGGAAGATAACTGTCATGAAATCTTCCATGCTTCTCAGCACCACTGTTTACCAGCTTCATCTCTTGCCAAGAAAACAACATGGATGTATCTCCTAAGCTTCAGCAGATGGCAGCATTTCTTCAACCTTGGTTGATCTCAGAAGATAAGCAGAGCTGGCTCTGATTAGTACTTGGATGGGATACCACCTGGGGATTCAGGGGGTTTAGGTAAGACTGGGAAGTGGGAAAAAAAGATGGCAAACCATTTTTGTATCTCTATGAAAAAAAGGGGGGGCACAGATGCAGACACCAGAATTGAGCCTGACTCTGGGATGGCTTCACTTCACCAGGGTAATTATTAAATACATGTGGAGTAATCCTGTTCAGTGCATTTAATTGACATCATGTGAAATAAGTATACATTCAAATTAAATTACATCAAATGTAGTTTGGGGGCTTGGTCCCACCTACCTTTTGGAATGTACCCCCTCTTCCAAACCATCCAGAAGAGATCGGCCCCTTGACACCCCAAAATCCTGCAATCCACAGGAATGGTGCTATATGAGCTAAAATAAGCACGGATTGCCTTTGGAAGACTTGAAGGATCAGGTTGGGAACAGATCCTCCTGCAGAAACTCTCTTGGTTGCTAAGAGTTGACACCAACTTGGTGGTACATAATCCAGTTTTGCTGGGGAAGATGGAGTTTTTCAACTGATAATACAATGCTGCTCTTCACGAATCTCTACCTTTTCTGTTTCAACCTGTCTTTGATGACTTCTCTATCCTAACTATAGGTTACCTGAATTGCTAGAATAACCTTGTTCGATATCACTTAAATGCTTCTTTTTCAAAGCAACCTGGCCAGGATGCCATTCACTCAGTCTCAAGAACATACGAGATTAACCAGACCTTGCCTATAAACTGTCCTACCCAATTCTATATGTCACTGCAATCGACATATGAAATGTGGGTTTTTTTTCCCCCCACAGCCCAAGTCAGATTCAATTTGACAGAAAGTATTAAAACAGGGCTTTGCAACCTTTTCATGCACAGAAAACCTTTCCAATGGACTGTTTTATCCCAGATAAACACTTGCACTTTAAATCATTATGGAGATTCATGAGGGCTGACTTGGTAAAGATTCATGAGATTAAAAAAAACACACCTTAATTTCTGTATTTTTGAATTTTGTAGACACCATCTGGAGAGGTTAGGGGGAACCCTTTTGTCAAGCTTTGATTACAACAAAGCCACAACAAACATTTACCAAACTCAACTCTCCATTTTGTAAATATCCCGAGCTCTGAATTAAAATCTGATTGAGAATAAGCCCAGGAGAATTTTTTTTAAGTCATGGTACATAGAGACCAGCTTTATGGTGGGCAAAAATGCAAGATGGAGGTTCTAAGGCTAGACTGCATTTAAACATTGATTTTACACTACGCGGGACACCATCTTTCTTTTCTATGATACTGTCATTACTTTTATTATCTCATATACAGCTCCAAGGCATTTTGGAGAAGAAAAGGATTACAAAAAAAAAGACCTCTCCTTTCTGTCAACTGTGTACGGTCTAAATTTAAGCTGGGGGTAACCCAATAGCAGGCAGAAAATAGCACAAAAGATGACCGAAGATAGAAGAGAGTTGGCTTAACGTTTCTTACAAGCTAAGCCATTCAAGTAACTTTCATATTTTTTTTTTTAAGCAGAAGCATATAGTAAAGAGTCATTTGGAAATCAGGTGACACCTAAATTGATTGACTGTATGAATGAATGAGCGACTGAATCAAAGTACAATCTTGTTAGACAAAGAAAATATGACTTAACTGCAAGTAAATCTACTTCTGCATTAAAAAAAAAGATCTAGGCTGTTAAAACAAATGTCAGCCTTATGAGGAAGACCAGACAGGAAACACAACCAGATGATTGCGACTCATTGCCCTGACTCCCAAGGTCATTCCCACATACCATTACAACAGAGCAATGACTCTAAGTTCACTCTGAAGTGATAGAAAAGTAAAAACAAATGATTGGGCAATGTGAGTGGTGGATACCAAGAAGTTGCAATGTGAGACTCCAGCCTTAGCATCTATTTTTCTTGCCCAAAGCCATAAATTTTAGAAGACCCTTCATAACATGGAAGAGAAGAACCAGAATTGGGTGTTCTTCTGGAGGGAGTGATGTTGTGAAGTTAGGCAGACTACACTAACAGGCATCTTATGTACGTTAGTCAACTTTGCTACTGAGCTATAGACAAACATCTTAGTGCATGCATGGAGGAGGGTGTGGAAACACCTTGGAATGGCTGAAGCAAAACTGAGAGCATCTTCTCATGAAGACCTTGAACAGCAGTTGCAAAGTACAAAACCAAAGTCAAGTCTACCAAGGAAGAAGATAAATGCTGAGGCTGGAAGAGAGCTGTCCAGGTAGATGAAAGTATTTAAGGGAATGGCAACAGCCAAATCCTATCCCACCCCCATTTGCACCCTCTAAACAAGCAAGGATGTATGGCAAGGAAGGTGGCAAAAGCGTGTCCCAGCTGAGAGGCCAAAGCAAAGATCTATTTCTATCAATACCAAATTCTCAGAAATCTGCTATCCAGCTCAATGAAGCAGATCAGAGGGTCAGCACAGATAGAAAAGGAACTTCTTGTCAACAAATGGAAATGCAATTAACTTCTTCAAAGACCAGAAAATGGGAAAGAGATAGCTGAGAGTCACTCTATTTGGGGAGGTGTCCAACCAAAAGGAGATGGGTCCATCAGCAAAATCTGACAGCACACGCGATTGATTTTCTCTGCCTTGCCTGAAATGGACTACCTACAAATGTTGTGAATGGAACACTTCCATTTTCTTATTCGTTTACAGGTAGCTGTAGATGTTGCTTTGCCTGGGCCTCATATTAGAAGTCCCAAGGCCTCCCCCTTCCCCCAATGAAAGGGGGGTCATATAACTTTGCATTAGCATTATTCGCAATAGTCAGTGAGGAACAGAATCACTGCAATGCATTTCCTGTATCGTGTGCTAATGTAAAGTCTAAACGTTTGAGTGAATGATCAACTTTGCTTGTGCTCCAAATGTTATACCATACAATTCATATATATACACACACATACACACATACATGCACACACACATACATTCATGCATGTATGTGTGTGTCCTGGATCAATTGCTGCTATATCCTTCTTCATTGATCCCACAGAGCAACTCCATGGGGGCTGGGATGGGGTAAGTTAAATAAAGCCATATATCTTCTGCCCAGGTAGGTAGCCATAACTGGCCAATTTTGGCTGAGCTAAGCAAAGTTGGATTTGGTTAATGGGTGAGAGACCATTAGGAGATCCTACGGCTGGAGGGCGGACTGGCAAATTGAAAATAACTTCCTAGAAGAAAGCAACAATGGGATATTTGTATCCTGTTGCCTGGAAGACTGCATGAATAAGGCCTTGAAGGCATCAGGGGTTGAGGACAACACAAAGGAGATTTTATCTTACGCCTCTTCCCTGATGTTGTAACAACACAATGCAGTCACTGGACTCCTAGAAATGCAAGTGCAATTTTCTGACTCATGTTGTCAGCCAATTACATGGGGAAATTGATCCATTCTTCTTCCTCAGGAGAAGGTGCTGAGGGTGTGTGGCATGCCTTTCACAAGCCAGGTGTGTTACTTAGACACCTTTCAAAGTCTTTTCCCCAAGCAGGAGCTAAAAAAAAAACCCTTGGAAAATGAAACAATTGGTTCTTTCCATCCGAGCAGCCTTTTTTTTTTTATGGAGAAGAACTCTGGGTCAGTATCTAATGGAACGTTGTGTGATGTAACTACTACTACTACTTTGTTGTTGTTGTTGTTTAGTTGTTAAGTCGTGTCCGACTCTTCGTGACCCCATGAACCATATTGCGCCAGGCCTTCCTGTCATCTTCTAAAAGAAGAACCCAAACTGTTGTCCTCATTATAACATGGCCTATGGGTGACAAGAGCCCATCTGGTTAAAATGAACCTTGTGTTTTAATAGATAGAGAAGGGGGTGAGGAATCCAAGCGGTAGAGATCATCTTTTCTTGTGGCTCAGGAAAGGATAACCCTAGGTGGATGTCTTAGGAAGAAAGAAGCAGAATTCATAGAATTGTAGAGTTGAAAGCTGTCAGGTCCGCTTAACATCTGGTAAAGCTCTATTCGAAGCCACATGGAGCGTACGGAGTCAAGAGAACTTAGGGGTTCAGGGTGGATTAATTTTTCAGGAAGCAAATCCCTTGCAGAGGCTCATGTTTCTCTGGCTAGTATCTGAAATGCCACATCTACTGTCAAGCTCAACCTACAGAGGACTAGCCTGGTCCTTCCCAGGAGAGGTGATCTAAGCATGGATAAAACAGCTGCAAGATTTTCCAATAATTTGTAGGAAAAAGGAAAATTCTGAGTCTTGCGCTCTTGAGGCTACCAAAACACTGGGAGAAACAGCTCCACGTTCCCTTGATCAATGGGAATAATGAGGTCATAGATGATGAATGAGAAATTCAAGAAAAGCATGAAGGCTTGGGAAACTAATGGATGGCCTGAAGTCTGTGGGTCAGGAGAGGGAGAGGAGGAGATTACAGGAGGTAGTAGTTTTCATGCCACCATCAAGGCTTCTTGATGATATGGGGTGCTAGTACAATCCTTCTACAGTACTCCAAATAATGTCACAAGGAAGGAGATGCAAAAGTGATGCTCACCTTGCCATCTTCTGTGTAGACATTTTCATGAAAACCCTTGACTATTGTCCGGTCGATGAAGAGGCTTCTCATCACTACTATAACTTTCAACACCTTTCCCAAGGTCACCTGCAAAACAAAACAAAAAAATAAGAGGGCAAGTGTGAACATGCAAATACAGAAGATGCACCAGGTTATATAGTATATCGAAAACAAATAAAGAGTTTTCACTTGCAATATGGTAAGCAAACGTGGAACCAGTAAGCATCTACGTGACTCACATCTCCTTTCATTTGATGTGGTCCTGTTTCGTGTCTGGTCTACCTAGCAAGACCAACATCAGTCTTGCAAGTTGGAAGTACAATTCTCCTGCTGCCTCTTTTACAGCCTGAGAAATTAGGGAGGGTCTCTTCTGAGCCTCTTGCCCCACCCGCTATCCAGCTGAGGGCTATGCCGTCTCTTATCTGACTGTTCCCAAGGCAGCGTCTCTTGGCCCAGTCTCCCAAGATCTTGCCCACATACCATTACATTACACCACGTACATTAAGATCTGCCAAACGTTTAGGCACTGCGGGTGCTCAAATAAGCTTGTAAACACTGTTGCTTAAATTCTTCACAACAGGTGCAGCAATATGAAAAGCTTCCAACTTCACGCCAAGGTTGTGTTGACCCTAGAAAACCAGCAGCTGTTGTGCTGATTGGAAAAGCAAACGGGGAGGATTTGAAAATCAGAGGCAGTCACACGAGATCCTAAGTGCCAGATCCAGAAGGGAGGCAACAGAATGAAGATAATCTGATGTTATGGGTTATGTATTATTCCCATTTATAGAGCCACCCATCTCATATATGTGACTCTGGGCGGCTGACAGATAAGACAACAATTCAGAAACAATAACAACAGTACAAAAGCATATAAAAACCAGCATTTAAATCATAGCGTTCATTGGTTTGGTGGTGGTTCTTCTGGATTGCCAATTGGAATTCATTTTAGACCCCAGGTTGTTCCTATTTTTATTGCTTTTTGGTGTTCCCCTATGCCCGCTGGCCCAAGGCATTGCTATGAGACAGGCGGGCTCATAAATTGCTCCTGTGAATAAATGAAGCAAAAGGCTATCCATGCCCATCAGCCCCGTCACCCCATAGGGTGGGACAATGGGAGTTGTAGTCCAACCCCTCCGACATCCGCCACAGATGGCCATTCGTTCCACGAACAGCCCCGCCAAGGCATGGCCAGGAGCTGGGGGCTGCCAAGCAACTATGAGCCTCTGGCATGCGGAAATCTTGAAAGGGTTTGCATGATGAATCATTGTAGTTAGCTTCCTCCCAAACAGGTGAGTCGTATATCACACATAAAACAGCGAGAGTGTTTCACAGCATGCTTAAGAGAACAGCAGTATTGCTCCCCATGCAAAATACCGACCTTGCTTATACCCTGCAAGAAGCCATGGTGAAAATGAAGCTGGTGTAAGCGTGATGTGTAAACCGGTTCACAGAATAATGTCATGATTTACCATTTGGCTTTACTGATTTATTTGCCTTTCACCGGTAGTTCAGTAAGTGGGGGCAGTGGGGGGAAAAAAGCCTTAACGAACAGGTAGCATCTAAGAATAGAAGCCACCACTTTGTAAATGCTCTTCGATGACTGCTGAGGATCAAAACTGAGAGTGAAGAAACTCAAAGAGATCTTCAGGGAAGCCAAGAACTAAGAATGATGACAACGTAATCATGGATTGATAACATGGAGAACACAGGCCATGTGCATGGAAGACAGAAGTAAATCATTGCAGTTGTCCACCCTCTTGGATCCCTGACTTTGCAGACCAGGCTGACAGGTAAGGGAAACCAGCAGCAGCTGCTGATGGGAGTTGGAAGTCTACCAACCTCTGGTTTGAGGGTGGAGAAGGCAGGCATATGGATTGGGAAGCATCTTTTCTTGGTTCTCAACACAGTCTGTCTCCTGCCTGGTGGACAATGTTTTGGAACCATTTGAGTTTGATTTCATTAATTGGAGCACCATTCTTCCATTGTAAGCAAGGATTTGGCTCCATGGTCCATGTCTGAGAAGAAGACAATTCCCAAGGAACTCCCTTGGTTGTCTTGCCTCTCTTCTCCCCTCCCTTGCTTGGAGTAGAGAAGCAACTGGGGCCACTAACATTTTGCTCTTCTTCCTTCCTTCCTTCCTTCCTTCCTTCCTTCCTTCCTTCCTTCCTTCCTTCCTTCCTTCCTTCCTTCCTCCCTTTCTCAAATTTGTCACTGCCCATCTCGTTAAAATGACTCTGGGCCTTGGTCTCTCTTCCTTCCTCTTGGTGGGGGGCGGGAAAGCAAAACAACTCCTCTTACACATCCTGGCTTACCCTCCTTTGGCATCCAAAACGCTCAGAAGGAAGAGCAGGGACATCAAACCACTTTAATTGAGCTCTTTCATCTGGGGAGAAATGGACCAGCCATCTAAAAACTCTACACCTGCTACGGGACAGCAACTTGCAAGTCTTGGGATATCCTTGGTTGTAAGTCAGCAATGTTCAATCATTGAGAATGCCTGTAATTTCAGCTCCGCCAGGCTACCATGATGACTGTGATGGAATGGAATTATGAAGGCCAGGCTCAGGGAGATAAGCATTTTCTTAGCTCACAAAGAGAGCATTGGAATTACTAGAGGATGAGGCTGGCCCCTCCCTGAGGAATTCACGGTGTTGTGACTGGCTGGCTGGGGAGCTGGGGTTTCAGTCTGGGAAGAGTGATGTCAGGGTTAGCCCAAAGAACTCCAAGAGAATCAGTTCAGCTATGTTTATTAGCTACAACCTCTAGCAAGAATCTTCCCAGACT